GCTAGTCACAAGTAATAGGGTGACCAATTGCTAAAGCATGTGAATCGGCTTAAGACAGAATGACTCATGGTGGACTTCTGACGGACTTATAATTACAAGTCCCTGCAGGGACTTCTGATGGACTTGAATACTACACTGATTTGGCCTGTTTCCTGTACACATTTGACATGTTTGCCTACCAAGGCCCATACCACTGCTGTTTGGTCAAAAAATGGGGTTCAGTAGGATAGTTAGTCAACAGATGTGCTCAGATACATGTATTATATTATGAAGTAGTTAAGTGCAGTGCTGTAGACTACCAAAATTAAAAAAAAGCACTAGCAGCAAGTGGATGTGGCCATTTTACCACAGGTACTAAATGGCCCAAGAGGTAACTCGCTTGAATTTTAGTTTCATGGCTCTTGCTACATCTGAAAGTGCTGTTGACGGCTACATATAACGGTACCAGCTGAATCTTGTGGCCATTATGTAGCCATTCCCTATAGGCATGTGTATTAATTTACTAGGGACCTTAATAGTCATAATGTGACAAGGATCGGTGTGTGTTCAATGACGATGAGAAAACATAACCAGAACCTCTGAAGGATTAGATTTGTGGCAGGTTTCAGTGTGTTTGTTTTTATTTCACCATGCAGACCATCCAAGAGGGTAACTTTGCTGTCCTCCGGCGTGTTTGCGTCAGCTTGGACAACATGAAGCTCAACCGCAACTTCACCCAGGGTCTGGAGGTCAGCCGCATCAACGTGATGGTGGGATCGCTGACCGTGGATGACCTGGGGCGCCTAGGGCCGGCCTCGGACCAGCAGGACACGCTGTACCCGCTAGAGTTCAGGTGAGGCTTGATGCCTGAGTTTGAAAGGAGTTATGTTTCCTGTGCATTAAAAGTGCCAAAAATATGCCGTTTTGGTCGATAAGCAGAGCTCTGTTACGCGAACTTTGGCAAGAGGAGATGGTTAGATTCGGGGAGCATCTCAAATGAAGAATTGCTGAGGACCATTCCAATGAGTTCATACATTTCCATTTCAAACACAGTTTTCCATGAAGGAGCATACTAGCTGGAGCATCACTTTCAAGCATCAATCACCAATGGATTTTGTCTCTGAAGCATTTGTAGCCATCTGTGCCGTGGAACTCTCACAAGCTACCAAGAGCACTCCGCACAGCATTTATTTTTACCCTCATGGTCACATCACAGATGTACAGCAGTGTGACTTGATGTTTCACTCACATCAATTTTAGTCATCAATGTGACATTAATGTGAATTTCGCACAATTGTCCAGAAGCTTAAGGCCTCTGGACTTCACAATATAAAGATAAGAAATCAGTGTAATCAGCCATTTTCCTGATAAAACTGTGCCTTTGATTTTGTGAACGCTGCTCAGAATATGTGGTCTAAGTTTGGATAGAACACTATATAGAATGACATCGTTTTAATGTCCACTTTTTCTTTTTTACTTTGCCATTGTGTAATACAGTTCTCAACATTTTTCCATGTGCACACAGGTGCCAGAGAGTTTATTGGAGTACATTTGATGCAAGACGCCGCTGTGTCTACACCATCCGCATCTTTGAGTACAAAGCAGCTGCTACCCCAAAGTCTCCCCTCGATGTCAACCACACCACAGCTCACAGCCCCGGAACCCTCAACAGGCGGAAGTCTCACCCTCACATCACGGAGCTTGGTAGCGACATGCCCATCATCCCCGAGATGGACGAGGATGGTGCTCAGATTCTAGGACTTGAGAAGCCTGGGGTGGAGATGATGGACGGGGTCTTTGAGCTGTCCTTGGACAGCACTGGGCTGGAATCCCTGTTGGATCCCGAAACGATGCTGCAGTGCGAGGCGGAGCTCCGAGATGGGGGCGTGGACCCAGAAGCTGCCTTGTCTGCAGCCCTGGAGCAAGTGGATGCTGAAATTGCCATGCAAATGGGTGAGGCTGAGCTAGCCATGCAAGACCGGTCCCAAGGGGCAGAACTAGAAGCAGCAGCCACTTGCTTAGATGTTCCTGATGAAGGTGTGGATGCTTTGAGCAAGAGCTGTCCAACATTTGAAGCTCAAGAGCTACCTGAAGCCTTCAAGACCTCCCCTGAGGATATCAGGCTTACCCAGTCCTTTCCATCTCCCTCTGTCAGTCTAGCTATGAACACCACCGGCCTGTCAGAGAAAACTCTGAAACACTTGCCACAGGGAGCTATTACAAATCAGAGAATGACAATTGCGGATGTACAGAGAGATGACTCTGATCTCTCAGATAACCTGAGTCGGATGGTGATGAGTTTGAATTATGCTGCCCAGTGTGGGAGAATTGAGGAAGCCAGGAGAAGATCTTCTCAGGACAGTGAAGCCTCATCGAGTATGTCTGAAACGAGAGCACTGGCAATTAACCCACCTGAGCCTACAGCTCAGGCACCATCAAGCGAGCAGGTTTCGTGTACTTCTTCAAATTTTGCAATACCAGTCAATTCAGAGAGCCCCAGCTTGACCACAAATCAGGGCATTACCTGCATTACTACCATGAATTCCCCGGAGGTGCCCTCATCAGAGACAGCGGTACATTGTACTCGAACAGATGCTGGATCTGAAGCAGAGATGTCCAACATGCCGTCACAGACACTCACTTCCAAAGGATCTCTGGACTCAAACTGTCGCAGTCATGACTTGGGATCTGTCCTCGCCACCACCTCAGCTGAGGTTTCAGTTTCAGATAGGCACGAGAATGTGCCAACATCTCACATGCCTGCCATCCCTCGGACAAGCAGCAGCTGTGGGAGCCTTGCTTCCCCAATGCTCGATACCCAAGCTGAACTTTGCTCGGAGAAGGTTTCATCCGGGGACACTCCCACAAGATCTATATTCAAATTCATCGACAGCCTGTTGACAGAGGGGGTTACCCAAAAGACCCTTGCACATGACTTGCCTTCACCGTTAATATCCCAGAAGACAGAGAGCAGCCCTCCTGGAGGCCTTCCTCTAAGTACTGGTGAAGAGCAGGAGGAGACAACAGAGGAGAGTCTTTCCTCCAAAGCTTGTGGTGCTTCTAGAACAGTACAAGTGGGAAGTAATGAGGGAGCTTGTTCCAAAGGTCCTGTGGAGCCTAAGCCAGCGGATAATAGTCAAATTAACCATCAAAATGAAAGGTTACCAACAGTCACTAAAACTGGTAGTGGCAACACTCCTAGAGGTTGCTTAGTACTGGCAGGTTTTGAATCAGACTCTCAGGACGGGTGCTCCAGTTCGCAAGAGAGCATGGGTGCTTCGAAGAGTACACAAGATACCTGCTCAGATGAGGACACCGACCTGAGCCAGCACACGAGGGACATCGTCGCAGATGTAATCGAGCTGGAAAGCCTGCGCGAATATTCGGCCAAGCGTGGAGACCTCTTGTCAGTCACAGAGGGGGATGACGGCCAGCTGAATGAGAGCGAAGTGGACTCCTCCGTAGGCACGCCTGGTGGCACTTCAAGCACTGTGGAACTGACACCGCAGCCTATGCTGAATAGACGAAGTCTAGGTTGCCACCTAGAAACTGGGAGAACTCTGTCAGAAAACAGAGAGTATCAGAGTGCGCATCCTGACGCAAAAGTGACTTTTGATGCCAAGAGTGCAATTCTCTCAGAATTTGAATTAGAATCTAACAGAATTCATGCAGTGGGTTCTGCTGAAGCACAGTCAGATGTCATAGTCCAGTTTAAGTCCAGTCACCCAGCTCTATACATGGAGGACCCTAAGCCCTCATTACTTAATGTTATTGAAGCTGTTGAAGCTACTCCTGGAAGAAGGGATGAATTAACCGACCTACAATCCTCTTTTAAAAAGGAGCTAGACACCCTGGGGATTCAGTCAAATGTAATTGATGACTTGACTGTGGATGCAGGATCTACATTAAGTGCAGCTGCTCTGGCACCTTCAGCACATGCATCCTATGGAGGCTTGAAGAGCTCATCAACAGAAGATACAGCTGTCAGGAGCTCTACGCAGTGTGGAAAGCAAGAAGTGGACAGGTATGGAGAATCCCCAAGGACGGCAAGGCAAGTTTCTGTCACCGATGAGGCTAGCTGCAGTAGCAGTCTCGGTGCAGAAAGCATGGAAATCGATGCTGGTTTGCCAGCGTGCTTGTCATCGGAAGGGGAGAGTGAATCTTGCAAAGCTGAGAGGGAATTCAATGAACCGGAACACACTTGGACAGATAGCAAGGTTTCTGCCAGTTCTGCGGAATCTGGACAGGGTGGTCAGGGAGAGACCGTGATGCATGAGGAATTACCTGCTACGCAAGAAGTGCTGATTGACGAAGTTACTCAAGGCAAGTGCTCAGATCATAAGAGACACCTGGATGCAGTTACACCCTCAGAAGGCGGCCCTGGGTCTGCAGGAGAGATTCCAAAAGTTAGTGCAGAGGAAATGGAAGAGCCACTTGCTAAGAGAAGGAAAATAGAGGACCCAGAGGCTGATGAGCCCCACAAGATTTCCGAGTCATCTTCGCAACATATTGCTCAAGCTGAAGTTAACTCTCAACCAGCTTGCTCCGACCAAGTTCTGGATTTGAGTCTGCCACCACACCTCTGTCCTGATCCTGATGAAAAGAATGAAGGCCCCAGGAGTTGTAGCCTTTCCAGCACATCCAGCTTGACCTCTGCTCCCAGAGGTGGGTCCATCAGCAGTCTCTCTGTGCAATCCTGTGAAAAAGAGGCGGAGCAGAATGCAACAACTGGAAGCACTGTGGGTCTCGATAAAGATGTAGCCGAAATGGAAGTTGACAGGCCCTTGCATTCACCCAAAAGTGTCTGTGGTGAGGGGAATGTGCTGGATATGAGGCAGATAACGACAGCGTCAAGTCAAAGAGTCAGTGATGCGGTTGTATCAGAAGTGTTGGCTGTCACGTTGGCACTGGAAAGTAGACCCGAGAATCAGCCTTGCTGCACTGCAGAGGAGGCAGACGATGATGTTTTTCTTGAGAACAGTTACAGGGATACAGAAATGCATACAAGTGATCGTGGTGAACGCATCTCAGGCGAAGAGCCTGTCAAGATGGACATGTCCCAAACGCTGCGAAAAGCAGTCGTTGTCCTCCATGACATCTACAAAGTGCATAATAACAGAGTGCGAAGTATGTCCTGTGATTTGTACTCAAGTCCTTCGAAAGATTCTGAGAGGTCCATGCCAACCACCCCAATATCTGACAGAAGCCTGTCTCTCAGTTCAGCTGCGTCCCTCCCAACAAAAGCCAGATCACTACCAAATACACCATCGTTTTCACAAAGTTTGTCAAAAGAGTCAACTACTCTTGTCACAGGTGGAAGGCGTGAAAGGGGTGCGTCTGAATCGGAAGTTACCCATATGTATTCCAGATCAGAGAAGGGTGATGACCACGTGGTTTTTGAATCTCACTGTACGGCAAACGATAATTTGCTAGAGGAAGAGCACCTGACAAAATTATCTGAGAAGCTCAACCAGAACAAATTTCACGTCAGTGAAGGCACAGAGGAGAGAGAAGTGCCAGACAAAGGTGTCACAGAGCCAGCAGTGGAATACATCCTGGATGAGAAAACTGGCAGTTTTGTTGCTGCTCCCATCTTTCCCGACAGTAGTAAGGATGATTTTGCAGCTAGCCAAATTCCTCTAGAACGAAAGAAGTATCCGATGAGATCAACCTTCTCCCGTCTCACCCGCATCGTTGAGAAGTCAGAAGAGAGAGTTCCTCGCCGCAAGAGGAACTCAAGCAGCGCCTCGTCCTCCAAAGAGATGTCCTTAGAGGGCATTTCATGCAAGGACAATGTTCAGCTGGAAGGTGATGAGAGTGAGCCCACACTCGCAGGAACACCCCAGCTGCCAATGAAAAGACGTCGGGGTCGGCCGCCTAAAAGTAAGACTCCAGTCTCAACCAGGAGAGAGGAGGACGAAGAAAGAGATATGGATGCCTCTCAAAATGGAGCCCAGGAAGAAAGCAACACATCCTTTGGGCTATCTCTGAAAAGTGCTCAGCGGCGGCTGCAGATTTCCATGAACGAAAAGGGAACCAAGGGAAATGACAAGGGACACAAGGAAGGAGATGAGTGTGAGACAGGGACGCGGAGTTTGAGGAGGAGAACTACGAGAGTCCTATACTGTGAAAATACCAGAACGCGAATTACTGCCACCCTCAACAACAAGATTACCACTGTTCCTGGTGAAAAAGATGGGCAGAAACCTGAGGTAGAACCCAAAGAGAATTCGCCAGCCAATGCAGTACCTGCCAAGACAAAGGACAACAAGCAAACCACCGAAAGTGAGACGGCAGTAGGAAGGCAGATGCCACGTGATGAGCTGAAAGCAGAGAGCAAAGATAAAGGCACTGATTTGGATGCAGTAAAACCTTCTGAGGAACTTAGGGTCTCGTCTGCAGAACCAGTCAAGCCTGTGAGGCGTTGGCCTCTTAAACGGGTCATGGGGGACTTTGTGTCCAACGAGGCGCTGCTGGATCTCTGGACAGGGCTTCAGCCAGATTTAGGCCCCTTGAAGCAGAAATCAAAGGAAATAGAAGAACCAAAAGTATCGGAGAGCTCAGTTGGGTCCATCGTGCCCAAGAACCCCTCCGACAAAAATAAGAAAGATCCTGCAAAGGTTGTAGTCAGCACCAGTTTGGTTCCAAGAAGTGTTTCCCGCGTGGTTGTCTCAACATCATCGCCTGTGGTCACAGCTGGTTCAGCAGGCCTCTCGATCAATCGAAATGACTACCTTAAGTGTCTCTTCCGCAGCAATGCTAGCAGCCAGCTGCAGAGGGTCAAGCTGGCTACGAACCCACAGAACAAGACCGGAACCTCCGAGTGCATGATCACGAGTCGCCAGGTAATCCTGCTGAAGCCCGGGGAGGTGCTGAAGATGAAGAACACAGGAGAGAGAGGGCGTGGTCGAGGCCGGGGAAGGGGTAGGGGTAGGGGAAGTGTTGGGCAAGAGGTACACCAACAAGCAGATGAATCCCTCCAACCATCCCATCAAGACAAGCAGTCGTGCTGGACCATGGAGACAAATCGCAAAGTTGGAGAAAACTCAGTCGTTACTAACCCAGAGAGTGATGGTCCCTCTGCCACCGATGCCTTAGCAGATGGACCAAAAAGGACCCCAGTTGATGATAATGCTGCCCTTCAGAAAAAACTGTTTGAGAGGACCGCCGCATCTCTGGGTTTTCAGATAGGCCAGGCTAAGTCTGCCAAAAAATCCAACGCGAGCAGTGAGCCAGTGAAAGCAGGCCCGATGCCCCTCACAACCCAAAATGTGTCCGGTGCCTTCACTACAATCAAGACTTCGAGAGTCTCTACGGCAGTTTCTGTTGTGCCAAGCTTGTCAAGAGTTTCAACTGCCCAGAGCATCTTGCGACCGTTTGGGGCATCAGCTGGAACAGTTACTCCTAAGGTAACATCCGTCCCGACAGTCTCCACCCCACGTGCCTCAGCCAGTCCTGACAACATGTCCCTTACACATGTGAGCGTGCCATTGTCTCGGACTTGTACCAAATCGGAAACCACTGGTTTCCTGCAATCTCCTGTGTCGTCTCCTCCTGTAGTTACACTGGTGACCACAACGCAGGTGCTCAACTCAACCAGTCAGTGTCTGTATGCTTGCCCTACTACAAGCGGCTCGTTCAACAACCAAGCAGAACAGGCACAGGAACCCTCCCCAGTCCGCCCTGCCTTGACCAGTGCATACTCCACCCTGCTGCCCACTGTCCCCAACACCGGTACATCTTCCGTTCATCCGTTCTTGAGCCAGGTCAACACACCCAGATCCATCAAGACATTGCCAAGCATCCTCAGCCCTGTCCTAGGCTGCAACACCGTCATCCCCGGGACAACCAGGTCCCCTTTCACACAGTTCATGACCCACGCTCCTACACCTGTCGTTTCGGACAGGGCCTTGTTCGCTCCAGCAACAACCATACTAGGTGACGGGATGCTGCCACCTATTCCAACCAGCCCTCTCCCGGTTTCAGTCTTGCCCTCCCAGGCGTCGCTGTCACTAGCATCACCTCAGAATGCCGTGGACCAGCTCTGGTCCATCATCCAGCAACAGGCTCAGCAAGCTCAGTGCTTGGGCATGCAGCCCATTAAGCAGCAGCAGCAGGATGACCAGCTCCCCATCCCTACCACCTCCGTCTTGCCCGAGGCTCCACCGACATCCATCCCTTCTGCTTCCTCCCCGAATCCCTTGAAGAGGCCTGCCCCAGAGGAGCGGGACAAGAAGCTCGTCGGGGCAAAACGTCGGAAGAATCCAGTCGAGACGCGGATCTGGTTTGACGAGTTGGGCCAGCTGCATGCATGCGAAAGTTTAGCAGTGAGCTCGCCTCTGCAACATCCTTCTTCCCAGGAGAGGCAACTGAAACCCTCCCGGCCGAGAGCTCGCATCAAGAATGCCTCAGGTCCGAGGATGAAGATGCCCACCTTTTCGGAAAACCAGGATGATAGCCCCTTGACCAAAGCAGATGACACTGAAACAGCATATGGGAGTCTAGCAAGAGGTAAATCTGATTGTTCATCATTGCTTGTTTGTAAAATAGCCTGAGCTCCCTCGTACATGTAATTAACTCCATACCTCTAAGAACGTAGTCTTTATTCTGATAATTCTTGATACCAGGTTTTGAAATCTTGCTTTCAAACAAGAAATGATTATTAAGTCAAAATCAATATACCAAAGGTGGTCATATAAACAATCTGGCATTTAAAAATAACCTTTATTTTCAAATAAGTTTTTTTTTCTGGGGGGGTACTTTGTTGGCAGATGATACAAGATATGATTTCAGCTTTTTTGTGTAGATGTTGACCCTGAATTTCAGCTTTGTGGTACACCTGGAGTGTACAAACGTATGGGATCTTTTTAAATTTCAGCTTTTTGCTTGCTTTTTTTAGCTTTAATTTTAAGTGGCCACTATGCCTCTGATGTTGAAAACCTTTGACATCTGCCTGTGTGACGAGACAGGGCATTTTTGGACATTTGTTTTGCCCACCTGTACGACCCTTCCTCTACTTGCGTCAATCTGGCAGACCTTCTCCAGCGCACCCACTAGTTTTGAGACATCCTCGGATGGTACAAGGTCTCTTGTGCAATTGTCCCTCTTGTCTGCCCTCACTGCTGTGGCATGGTACTTGAAGATTTTGGCCTCAAGGAAGCGTCGCGTGGCGCCCTTGATAAAGATTTTTACGGTCAACAGCACCGACTCTGTGATGGCATTCACCCCTTTTGCCAGTTTCCCGATGGGATGATTTCATCAATGTGCCTAGTTTTGCCATTAGTGTTACATTTGCCAGCCCCAGAAAATGGCAAAGATTTTGTTTTCATGCTTTTGGCCAGTGCTTGATTGTTGCTTGCTACAAACATTTTGTGAAGAAATAGCAACAGGTTTCCCTTCTGAATGTCCAGTAGTTTCTGGTAATTTTAGGCAGCAGCATACAATCAAGCTCAACCATCCAAGTTCCTAAATATTTCGAAAACACCTTTTTTTTTTCACAGCCCAAGGCAACACATCCAGGAGACCGACAAAGGTACCCGCCCGCATCCCACCCAAAGCCCCCGCCCACCAAGTGGACCCCCAAACCTTCCAAGCCTCTGACGAGAACAAGGAGAATCTGGTGGATAGGGGTAGCGCCCCCCGGCCGGCCCCCGTCCAGGCCAATGAGGGCTTCAAGCTGCTTTTCGAGGTCAAGAGCGACGATGGGTTCGAGACCCGGGCGGAGACCATGGAAGAGGCGTGGCGCCAGGTGGTGGAGAAGGTGCAGGAACGGCGTAACGACACCCGCTTGAAGAGCCTGTCATTCGCTGGTAAGGAAGATGCACGTAATGTTTAACTTGCCCTTTCCCTCTAAGGGGTGGAGCCCATCGTCTGGTTTCCAGACCCCCAAAAATCCCCATGAATGTGATGGACTGGTTCCCGCCCCCACTTGGTTTCCAGACGTCTCACAGATGTCCTCCGAACGTAGGGAGCGATAGCGAATAATGAAAGCGGAGAAATCCTGCGGGTTTAATGTTAATGAGGAAACCATGCCCGCTTGAAACACAAATCAAGCAGGAGTTGATAGAATATTTTGCCTTTTCTTCTTTATTGCCGAAAATAACTTCACCATAAACTGTTTATTTATCTAACATTTAACAAAATAACCACTGATTTATCGATGTGATCACCCTCTGATCAACAGCATATTAACAAGGATAGTTACTTGTGTATTATTTGCTTTTCAGCTGAAATGTAACTCATGTTTTTAAAGCATTGCTATCGGTCTGACAAAAATTAAATATTCAGCATCCAAATTGACAGGGCTAATCGCATACTCAGACCTGCCAACCTTGCCGTATGCCTTCCTGAGGTCAGGCATTACCACACAATAGATTAAAAGGTATTTAAATGAGCCCTCAGTTTATTTAAAATTGTAATCTATCGTGTGGTAATACCTGACCACAGGAAGGAGTACGGCATAATGACAGGTCTGCTTACGTGAAATTGCAGCTAGCTCTCGGTCCCTGAACAATAGGGATGGGGACCAGTCTGTGCATTTAAGAGATCTGTTGGTCTCGTAACCATCACAGTGGTGTGACAGTATAGGGGTAGACCTCTTCCCATTTCCAAAATTTTTGGCGAAGGGATGATCAGGATTTCAAAAAGTGTCAATTTCAAACGTGATGAAATTTTTCTGGTAATTTCCCAAATCATTTTACATACCTACCGGTATTGCCTGCGACTACTTCAATACGAGACATATTTTACACCACTGGGAGGCATGGTGACTAGGCATTTTCTGTTAGCTGTTCAATGATTTCTTTGAGCTGAGTGTACCGGGGTTTCTCCAGGTGTGGATTCCATGAAGATGCTCGGAATCAAGCATGATGCCCTGGTCTTCCTCATCGAGCAGCTCTTCGGCGCCAAGAACTGCAAGCGATACCAATTCAAGTTCCACCAGCGACATGCTGAAGCGGCCACCGAAGAGGTGAGTGACCACTCCCTGGTCATCAAACACCGGTCTTGCATGCCCAAAACAAATGACTGTTCTACATAATATGTGATATTTAGTGTGCAAAACATTTCCTTGTGGCCGAATAAAATTTGGCTTGAGTTGACGTTTAGTGGTGAAATATGGGAAGCATGAGAATTAGGGTCTTAGATTCACGGGGCATCGTTTTGGTTACCTCTGTTTTTCAAAAAAAGACTAGGTCGTTCGAGAACCAAGTCCTTGAAGTCACCACACCATTTGGGACATGTTCAGTGCATGTGGGTTGGCATACGGTTGCACTGACAGGGCCAATGTTGCATGCATATTTTTATTGCCAAGTGTTTGTTTGTTACAAAGTATCAGGCATAGTACTTGCATTTCAGTTTGAGGTAACAGCAACGAAATGTATCTTGTGTAAACAAAATTGATATTCTGGCTTATCTGCTGTTTTTTTTCCCCGCAAGGAGCCACCACTGAATCCTCACGGCTGCGCCCGTGCCGAGCCCTTCCAGTCGCGTTCCCACCACGACATCTTTGATTTCCTGGCCTCACGCCACCGTCATCCCCCTGAGCTGGAGGAGGACACGCAGGAGCAGGACGTGCAGCACAAGTCAGCCAAGTAAGGAGCCAATCAGAAATGAGATTGCAGGGTCACATGATGCATTTCACCCAATAAGGACCAATATTGACGAGTTGTTTTTCTCAAGACCTATTCTGTGGTTGGATGAGGTGTTTTTTATCTTCTTGATTACATGATCTTTATCAGTCAATCAGATCTTCTGCGGAACTTGACAGAGTTCTGTTGAAAGTAGTCAAAGTTTTTGACAGAAAAATATGGAGTCCCAGTGAAATTAGAAAGATTAGTTTTTGACAGAGTATATTCAGATTTTTCGAAGAAAAAGTACCACCTTTAAGCTACCTTCAAGGCGTATTTATCCATTTGTCTCTATTTTGCATCCATCACAGGCGAGCCACCAGTCTGGATCTCCCCATGGCGATGCGATTCAGACACCTCAAAGAGTCAGCCAGGGAGGCCGTAGGAGTCTATAGGTCAGACATTTCTCCTGTTTGAAGACCTCCCTCTACCCACTCCCCCCAAAACACCTTAAGACCCCAAAAGAGATTGGTTTGAATGCAGAACCAGAACCAGTCATTTGAGTTAGTGACCTCTTTGTTTTTCTCCCCAGGTCCAACATTCACGGTCGGGGTCTGTTCTGTAAGCGACCCATTGAGGCAGCCGAAATGGTGATTGAATATTCCGGTAATGTCATCCGCTCCATCCTGACAGACAAGAGGGAGAAATACTACGAAAGCAAGGTGAGACTGGATTCTTGTACTCCAGTTCTTAGGATCTGTATGACCTATCACACTTTTATCTCTTCTAATCAAAGAAAGTTAAACTTGGAACCTCCTCAACTTTATTGGGACCGTGCAAAACAAATAATGATTACCTAGATCCCTTGAGAAAATACTCTGCTGTCCAATTAACCTTATTTTTAATTTCAGTTTTGCTATATTGAAGGGTGTTTTGATACCCATGTGGCTTTTGTGTACAGACAAGTTTCCCTAGTCTTGAGGAAATCTGTGATGTCATCCTAAGGAGAAACCTCCCTGCTTGCATTGATTTGTGCACCAAAGAAATACAGGAATTGTGTACAGGAAGTTGATGTACAAATTTAATTTTCTTTGGCGATCTGTTGTTGTGTAAATACTTGGCAGCGTGCCAGTGAAAGTGCATTTCTTGTTTATAGATGTTTTAAATGAGCAAATATTGGTTTTACATTTTTTTTAAGAAAAACAAAAACTGATCAGCATTTTCCGAACAGTTCCTTTGGTTGTCCAGAAAAAGTCTTGACAATTTTAACTGATTAAGTAGTGCACTTTGGAAGCTTCAAACTGACAAAAGATTTGAAGGTTTTGAAGTTGAGAATATAGATGCATAAAAAGTGAGCTTACCTCGTTTGAGAATTAAGAGTGACTCGGGACAATCCGAATTAAATCTTGGTTTCAGACAGATGAACTTTAATACATACATTTGCATTGGGTTCGGCCCATGAAAAGAGCGACGTCTGAAACCAAGTTGCTCTGGTGTCGTCCCGTGCGCCTTCAAGTTACGATCTTTCGTCTGCTGGCGCACCTGGTTGCTCCTAATTGTTTCATACATCGAACTTTTGCAGCACTTGTTTCGAAATTTGCTTTAAATTTGGTTTGGCATGACTCTAGAATGCCTCTCTGAGGCGGCGGTACAAAAACGGAAATGTCACTGCAGGACCCATTAATGTAGTATCTTAATTGCAGTGTAAACCTGCATTATTCAGCTCTTGGGCCGTGAGGGGAACGCAGCATAAACCCATAATAAAGATAACTATCGTAAAAAGGAACATTCGTTGTTACAGTTACTGCACCTTTTAAAAAATAGGATTATAATTGGCGATTCGTTTCATTGTTCATTTGCTCCAGGGCATTGGTTGCTACATGTTCCGGATCGATGACTTTGATGTCGTGGACGCAACAATTCATGGTAACGCAGCCCGGTTCATCAACCACTCTTGCGATGTGAGTATGAGGCAGAGAATTCTGGGTGCAAAAGGGGCAAGGAAGATATATTTACCTTCTGGATAAAATTTATCGCCTGGAGCCTTTAAAGTGTCATTCTTAATTACCTTAGACAGTCTCCCTATTCAACGTGAAACTCAACTGTATGTTAACATTTTGATCATGCCTGCTTAGAAGCGATTATGCCTGCTGCGTAAATCACGTGCTGGCACCTTGATACTAGACAGTTTAATCAATTCAGATTGGTCAAGAGTCTGTGTGCACGTGGCTCACCACACGCGTGCCAAGTCCATATAAGGAGATTTTTTCGGACAACTTGCAACAAGGAGTATTTATGAATGGGAATAAATATTTGGAGACTGAATGCTGATGATGTCCTTGAATGCGGCTCGGGCATCATTCACATCCATTCGCCTGAGCCAGTCTTAAATGCACATTTAAGACCAGCCAAGAACAAATTTATTCCTGTGTCCAAGGAAGAATTCAAAATTAAACGAGGTAATTAAAGGTTAACCTTGAGGTTTTATGACCTTACACAGGGCTTTGTGGGATACCTCAGGGTAAAAACCTCAAGTTAGTTCCTGTTTCAGTTTGCATTCTTCCCTGAACACACTTCAAGAATCCTCCAAACTCGTCTGAAATCTTGGCGGTACATTTTCTTTAATGTACTTCTTTTTGGCCATGTCCAGCCCAACTGTTTCTCCCGGGTCATCCAAGTGGACGGCAAGAAGCACATCGTCATCTTTGCCAGCCGCAAGATCCACAAGGGGGAGGAACTGACCTACGACTACAAGTTCCCCATCGAGGATGTCAAGATCCCCTGCAACTGCGGCGCACTGCGCTGCCGCAAGTACCTCAACTGAGAGGCCCGGAGAGCGGAAAGCATCTGGTTCCCTGGCTACTTAGGCAAAGAGAGACGTGCTCTCACAGAGCACCCAGGTCTTGTACGACCACGGGATCTTGATCTAGTCCCAGGAAAAGCCATACTGAGGAGTCAAGACTTTGTGAGGTGCGCCTGAAGGGAGATAAACCTCTGTGGAGTCAGTAACATCAAGATTCCCCCCGCTATTTCCCTGACCAAGGGAGATGTGCAGCGAAGGAGGCATGAACACGCACATCATGTAAACCTTCAAGAATCTGATCTGAAGAGCCCATTGTGTCAAGAATATTAAGCTCCTCGGCAGCCGTTTCATTTTTCGTCGTGTGAGGAACATCTCAGAATGACTCAAACCTGTTGTGGAATTTGACACTCCCTGCTTCTTACAGTGCACCGTGGCTCTGCAGATACTGGAAAGGAGAGATACGCAGGTGCAAGGACCAGGAGCTCAGAACGTTAACATCCCCTTGCAGTATTTGGGGGCGCCTTCGGTGCCTGATGTTTGCAAACTGCCAGAGGCACGCCTCTATGCTGCTAGTATTGTCAAGTCCCCTGGCAAGTTTGACACACTGCAGTGGTGCAAGTGAAACGATCCGAGAGATACGCGCACTGAGGAAGTCTGTAGGTTAAGGAAGCCAGAAGCACTGTGGCCACATCGGAATTACTTGGCTGCGGCTTGAAATTACGTACATCTCTATGGGAAGTGGCTGCAGCCGCAGCCACAGGCGTGCGTAATTTACAGGCTGCAGTGAAAATAACCCAGACACAGCCCACAGTGCATCACGCACCTGAGCTATTAGAGAAGATTTTTGTTTGGCAATAACGGTGAAAGCTGTACAGTCTATGAAGTGCAAAATTCGAGGCAGCTGATACATAGGAAACTGTAATAGAGATGTAGAGTCAGTCCAATACAGGGACAGAGTTTGGGAGGGCCAGTCATATTGGGAAGGATCGGCTATGTGTAGTGCAGGTGGATCGGCTATGTGTAGTGCAGGTGGATCGGCTATGTGTAGTGCAGGTGGAGAAAGTAAGGGAACATTTCATAATTACAGAAGGCGATATTTACTGCGGTACCGCTGTTTTTTTGCGGTACCAGCATTAAGCCCTTTCGGGTAACTAGTGCGGTGCCGCTAAAAAAACACAGCGGTACCGCAGTAAATACCGCCTTCAACAATGATGAAACGCTCCCTAAATTTGAATACAGAGTCGGAGAAAGACTATCAACTGTCCTACAGAAGCTTACACCACAGCACCCCCCCCCCATCGCCTTGTGCCTTGTATCTTAAGCTCCTTCAAACTGTTGATTTAGTTGGCTATTTCAAATGCAACTAGCATGATAGATCTCAAAGTGTTTTATTGTTTGGGAAATTGCAAAACATTGTCGGCCTGTGTAAGTTAATAGAAAAGGCTTTTTCACCACGGAGAAAGTTACTAGATATTGGTTGAGTGTGAAGCAAAGGATTGCTTTGCCTGACCTCCAAAAATATCAGCAGGCAGGTTGAGTACTTTTTAAATACTTACTAATATCTGGCGTGACTTTAACATTGGACTCTGTTTTAAAGTACTTTCAAGATTTACTTATTGATGGAGAAGCACGTGGAACCCATCGAAGTTAATGTGTTGTAGACAGTCGGGTGTCATGTGGCAAGAGCGTGATGGTGTGCCTGCCGCTGTTTTGTCCGGGCAGGGAACCAGACAAAGTAGGCTTCCATCTGAATACTTATATAGAGAACAATAATTTTACCTGTGGAAGGTTTTCCAAATGAAATTTACACAAAAGGGGAAAAAGTTCTTAGGTCATGTCTTAAATGTAATGCAAGCTAGAATTTACCATGGACTCTAAAATTTTCCCAGAAGTTTGCAAACTGTGTATATATTTTTAAAAGGTTTTTACATTACTATGCATATATTCTTTATTCTTTGACACTTCTGGGCATTTTACTGTTGGGAGAAATTAGTCGTGAACGTGGAATCCATACAAAGGTATGGTCACCTAGATGAAAGGTTACATGTCGGGTAAAACCAAAAGTTGACACAGACAGTATTTGAAAGAGTGTTCCGTGTCAGAAATGATATGGGGCTACAGAATTAGGAACTTTTCTGGAAAGTTGCTTGGGAAAAGTGCTTGGATCGATGATGAAAAAAACCCCAAATTTTGTAACAGGAAATTCTCTAGAGGAAATTTGGTGGCTTGAATTTAAAAAAACCAAAGAGGTTACAAATCAGGATAAAAATCTGAAGACGGACCCCCTGCAATATTTTGCAATTTCACATCCGAAAAATGAGTAGAATCGTCGGAACAGAAGCTAATTAGTGTTTGCAATCTGTGCTTTGATCTTCCAATTAATGATTCTGTTCTTCATTTTGATTATTTTGTTTTAAATATTTTTAATTCTCATTGAAATTTCCATTGTGTCTACACTTGCAATTTTCCAGCGTTCGGTGTATAAGTGTACATTGTAATCGTATTCTTGAAGATTTGCATTATCACTATAAACATAGTTGTATTTATTATTTTCCTTATTCGTAGTACTTTGTTAAAATGATTGAAGAGATTAAAATGAAAGATGTTTCTTTTTTATGCATTATGTTGGATGTATTGTTATTATAATTAATTTGAAATTCACCGCAGTTGCTGAAAGTTGTGGCTCGAGCCGGCTCCCGCTGGTATAATAACATGGTAGGCTGTGGCACACATTAGCTTCCCAGCTGTACCTCGTCCTCACTACACCTAGATGTCAGGGTTTACAGACTCTCCTAGCCCGTTGATTTCCCGAAGTTCTCGATGTCACGAGCGTGTGGCTCAAGTAGCCTGAGCCAGCCCCGTTCCGAAGGTGTGACGGCAGCCCGCATCCTCGTGTTTGGGGGAACACAACTGAACTGGGTACAGTGTTCGCTGGTGAGCCCACCCGTAGCTGCACCCATGACCCTGGAATCCTGCCACATTATTATTTCCGTCACTGGATACACAAATGGGACAAGATGTGTACGGACGTATTAAAACTTGGACCGCGACATATCTGCATTGGTAAAACGCGTGTTTATAGAGTATCTCGACCACCAGAATTAGAAGCCATTACTGCGGTGGCACAACGCTCGTGGACAGGTGGTACGCGCGCGTTACATGCCTCTTCGACCAATAGGGTGTCGTGATTTGCCGAATGCACGCGCTGGTCAAGCTGAAGAATGTGCGTGTGAGTGCGGTGCCACCGCAGTTATGGCGTCTAATCGAATTAGTCTCTATACACAGAGTGCATTTGCAGTGTGCCAGTGAGTTTACACGGACGGATGGGATCCGTAACCAGATTTTTTTGGGGGGGGAGGGCGCAGATTTTTAGAGGGGCAAAACATTCGGATTTTTTTTCATACCGCAACGTTAGCCTGTCTGAGGGGTGACTTTTTGGGAAGTTTTACATGCACGTTGTCTTGAAGGAATGAAAGTAGAAAAACAAAGTCGCCTTTTATTAACTTTTACTCCTTTTCTTGCAGGGATCCGCCCTTAATGGTTTACGTGCTTTATTTGCGACACGTGCTTCACTTTTTCGGGATGGAAGGTTTTGAGCCTTCCTACCACTCAGTTACATTGGAATACATGATTCAAGTTTGTCGAAGACTCGTTGGGTAGAGTTCATCTGGACAACAGGGATCAGCATTGCCTTATGTGGATTTAGGCCGACGTGCATTGGTACAGGCAGCAAGCGTGCACACGGAACTCCCACATAATTGCTTTGCCAGTCTGTAACTGTGACAGGCAATTTCCTTCAACTTCTCGCAGTCCTTTATATTACTTGATCGATCACAGGCGTCGCCTTAATTTTGTCCGGGAGAACCACTTTTTTCCCCCTTGGGAAAAATTCAAGGGAAACACTCATCAGCTAAGAACAATTAAAAGTGTGAGGGTCGATTTTGAGGGGTTTCCTAGCAAATTTGTAATTTTCATCGCGTTTCATATCTTGTTTTATTTCTTTCGCTTTTCTTTTTTAGGACGCCCTGTGCCGACGTCCACGGGGACGAATTAAAGGAATATACGGACCAAGTTCCTTGCAATGATATGTGGGAAGGTGTAGGTCTACAGTATTCAGAAGTTGGAGTTGTGCCAACACCTGGGCCAACCAACAATGATCGAACTTTGATCCATCGTTGTCTTCCCTCAAATCATAGTCTATGATATTTAGTTCACCATCTCACCTGTTTAGCATTTATCAACGCCTGACTCGACCCGTGTGGCCTTCGCGTCTTGGGGGCGCTGCGCACGGTCGTCAGGGCTCTATGCAAATGAACGTCCTTTGCACCTGTGTTTTGACAGTTGGCTTTAATTATTGCGCGACTGAAGAGCAAATAGTTCGTAGAGGTCGTGTAAACGTCAAGTGTGTAGAATTTCTCTGTCGATACTTCTAGCATGCTCCTGGGATTAAAATTAAAATAAAATCAAGGTTGGACACAAAAGACACAGTTTTGTGTTGAGGACGTGCGGTGTTTTCATCCATCAAGTGCCGTTTTCGGAAGCTTGATTACCGTCACAGAATTGTTTGTAGGAAAGATAAATAAAGGATTTAAAAATTAGCAAATGGAAAGAAATATACGTGTCTTTCAAGAGTAAATCTCACCAAGCTTTGGAAAACATCTAATGTAAAAAAAAGTAGCAGATTTTGTAGTCGAATGAATTACAGGTCTCATTTCGTAAATGGTTCAATCATGGAGGAATAAAACATTGTGTTTTATTCCTCCGTGGTTCAATTTGTGGCTGATGACTTTTTGTTACATTCAAAACCAAACATACATGAAACAAAACAAGTTGAAGTGGCAGAAACTAAGGCTGCACCCGAATCTGCGCAGACAGTAGACCTAGCCTTAGCTCTGTAAGCCCGTTTCGGACACGGCCTAAGCTAATCTATACGGCCGTTTCACAATAGTGCGCCACCAAGAGTTTGCAACACGTTGGCCAATCACACTGCGCGAAACTTGTCGACCCAATGCGCGTTTGGAAAGGGTCGACAAATCTCGTGCTTTGTGATTGCCCAACGTGTTGCAAACTCTTGGTGGCGCACTATTGTGAATCGCCCGAATTGCAGCAAAAACCACATCCCAAACCTGATCCCGTTTGTTGCAGATCAGAAGCAGAGCCTTGTAAAGCCCCAATTTCTTCTCCGATGAAAACCTGCACAGGAGTATCAGGGCCTCGCATACTGTATGTTTTTTGAGATGCCTACAGTTAACAGTTAAATACCTGATTGAATGAAGGGCCCAACTCAAACAAAACTTTCTTTGAGCAAAGGGAAAAAGAACTTGAGTACTTAATTGAAATCAATTAACTCTCTGTGACCAAAATGGTGGAATTTGGCCTTTCTTTTCATGAGGTATTGGATTATTTGCTGGTTAGCAAGTTATTTTTAACAGAAAAAAGGGTACAGTGGAACTACCGATCAAACCAAGCGTGAAATCACGAACGTAAATAGACGGACCAGCCCCAGGGTTTGCAGCTAAAATTCACGGCAATTGTTGTTTTTCGTTACCTCCAATAGTCAAGGACAGGTTTCAAAAGAAGCGCGTATCCTTTTGCTTTTTTTCTGCGTAAGTTCACAATGAGAGGAAGAGAATGCAACACGCCGCTTTCAGCAGTTTTGGAAAAGATGATCGATCTAGTTGGCGCCGCTGAAAGACCTGCCGACAGGGAAAACGCCGTAACAAAGAAACTTGTTAGGGCCATTGCCATGGAAACCAACTTACTGGGTTTTCCGAGGCTGCTTCAACAAAGCGCGCCGCCCGGCCGTGCGTGTGTGTAGTTCGCGTGCACGAGGACTTTGAAGTCCAAGGATTCTTTTGGACAATGTACAGGAGGTTTAAAAAGAGCTTAAAAGGACTTTATCAGTAACTTTCCCCCTTCTCCCTTTCAACCAGCTTACCGGTATAACTCGATCACAGGATTACATGCGCCATGTAACCCAATACATACATTCACAAGCGCACGCCATAATACACTGTATACAGAATTACGACTGGATCTAAGGGAATCTGTTCACTATAACTGTGGGCAAAACAGCTCATTTGTAGGCGTTTTCAAGCCTTCATGCATCATTTTCAAGTAATTTTGTGGCATTGTTCCTGTCTTTGAAAGCTCTTCCCAACTTTCGGCTCAAGGTTTTTATCCTGATAATAACACTCTTTGTTATCACAGTTTAAGGGTAGCTGAAAGGAGTTTTTCATTGACACAATTTATTTTCTGCGAATTTGTATATGTTTTTTCAATGCCTGACAAGTATTTGGAATGCCTTTTAGCGTGAATGTACTGAAAAAACCACTTAAATGTACAGAAAAGCGCCGCATTCAAAACTATCCAGTTTTCCTAGACAACTGATAAGGGCACTGTTGCCGTGATGCCATTCAGGAAAGACATGGTTGCTATAGTGTTTTTCTTTGTCTGTTCAAACCAAAAATTCACCCACTGAAAGAAAGGTTTTGCTCGCAAGCTTATTGCTGTCATACTGAAACGGTAATGAATCATTAAAGGAAGAAATCAGGCCGGCGAATTTGACATAGAATAATTTTTACTTTTACTTGACACTTTTTTTTGTTTTGTTTGTTAGATTTTTTTGGTTTCCCTTTTGCGCAAACCAAAATGTAACATTAAAGTTTTCTTCCCGGTGATGGCATAACAGATTTGTCCAAGAGTATTTCCATTAGCATGAAACCCCAGAGCGGCAAAATACCCTTTAAAATGCAAGAAAATTAAAATTGAGGTTAATCGAGACACAGAGGTGTCTTTTTGAAAGAGCAGCTCGCTTTCAGTAACTGTCACTGTAAATCCCCCATTTGCAAAATGTTCAATTCAAAATTCTTCTCACCCACGATTTCTTTTTCTCTTGAAAGAAACGAAATTCCCATTTAGCCCATATTACGCTCACTGTGAAAGTCGTCGCTTCGTTAACCTATGCAAAAATTGTGTCTTTGACCGTGCGAGAACCCCCTGCAAGGCTGTAAGAAACGGCTGACTGGAAAGGTTCAATGGCAGCGGGTGTTGCATTCGTTTTCCACTGTGCTACACTGGCCATTGTCGTCTTTGTATTGTATTAATCACAAACGACAATGGGGATTCCGCAGATTCATTTTGATTTCATTCAAGTCAACGCAGCCTGTGGGACGCTCTCCGATGACACAGGCGACGTGTGAAGTCCAACGGGTTTAAAAATAGAAAAATGTATTTATCAAAGGGCATGGTTTTATCGCCTGCAGCAGGCTGTGACAGAGCGAGGAGCAAGTTACAAGTTGCCATCCAAAATCTCGTCAACTGTTGAGAGCACTGTGTCTTTGGAACTATGTGTCATCGGAATACTCGATTTCTTGTCGTGAAGGTGAGGCTGTTTATTTGGGTACGTGCTAAACCAACCGCTTTGAAGTTTTTTCCCAAGCGCGGGCGTACGGCAGATAGAGTGTCGAGCTTTGCAGGCTGCGCTGGTGTACCGCATGCGCACTGCCCGCGTAGATCAGCACTATATGATGATCATGGAGGCATGATATGATTGACGGTGCACTGGAGTTACCTGAATTCACGATTTTTGAAGATGGCCCTGTTTCGGCTTCGGACTCATTGAACATGATGTTGGGGGAGATAAGATAACAATTTGCCGCACTCACGGGCCCGACATCCTTGCTTTTGTTTCATGGTGTTGTTTTCCTCGGGTTTTAGTACTAATAAAATACCGATTACTTTCTTACCTATGAAACACTCTTTGTAAAAATTAAAACAAAAAAATCCATCGGGGCAAGTTGCCCCCCTCCCCTGCTGTATACGTCACTACCCTGTTTATCATAAAATCGGCTTTGCCTGCAACGGAAACTTTAAAAAATACTTGGAGAGATTATGAATTGACATTTGTTGAGGGTTTATTGTGGACTTCCATGTTTTCCATCTGTATAGAACATCTTACATACCTTCAACAGAAATCCGAAATAACTTTACAGCATATTTCTTTATATATTATAGTTCAATTCAGTAGCTCTTGGTACAATAAACGCACACCTACGTGGATTTTAAATTTTGATTTTGACTTTCTCTTAATTCACTGATCATAGTTGATCGCGCTGATTCACGGAAGGCTTCATAACAATTAAAATTCTTCTATAAAGACAATAAATCTGGTTCTTTCATTCGATAAACTTGCAAAGCTCGTGTTAAGCCCGAGTATAAACTGGGACCCTACATATTGTAAATGGACAGGATAACGGCGACAATATGGTCCAAGCAAATGAACATTGCATGTCCGTAAACATTTTCGCACACTGTACCCCCCACACACAAAACTCCGGCTAAGAGCTGTAAACTGTTTGGATTGAATTTTTATTTTATTTTTGGGGGGGGGGGGTGAATTGATTGGAAGTATGAAAACTCAAACGAACTCTCATAATTTCTGGTATAAATGTTATGAAATTTTGAGGCTTAAGCCTGCAAGCTTTCTTTTCCATACAAAGGTGGATCAAGAACCAAATCTTCGAAGGAGGGGGAAAAATTGATTTGAGGGGCCAACAAAATTTGTAGCATCTTTATGTAATCTTTTATGACTTTTTTTGAGGAGTGATTCTAAATTTTGTGACTTAAAAAACAATAAATGCGCCTCTGGGGGCGTGACCACCGTTCCCCTCCCCCGAATCCACCAATGCCTTAAAGTACGCCTCGATCGCCTCTCTAATCAAAACATTACTTTTGCAACCTACATATTGTTGCATGCACCAGATTTGGCCCTCCCGGGAAGAATTAATACTTTTTAAATAAATGGGGAATCAAGGGTCTCAGTCGCTGTGATCATGCACACTGATGCTGTCATGGCTTGAGCGACTTCAGTTTTTAAAGTCAGCCGGAGTCAAGCCCTGCAGTCAATCCGCTGCTTGGGTCCAGCGACCAGATGTGATCAGACACGACAGGTGGTGGGTTGAACAAAAAACAATGCACCACAGCCCGTCAACTCTCATCGTTGGCGTTGCTTGCACAGTGATAGAACAGCGCGAGTCGAAACCTCCGTGTGTTTGTATGCTCAGTCCAGGAAGTTATCAGTGATCAATCGACCTTTGGAAGTAACAGAAAAAATGTATACTATAGTGATAATGAAGTACCAAATGGATAGCTTGTGTCGCTGCTCAACGCAGACGTGGAAAATGACCGTTGACGAGACGGTTTGCCATTGTGGGCCTGCAAATCTGGCGAACACCCGGGGTAAAAAATTGAGTGGCGTCGAAGGTTAGAACTGCCCCCGGCCAAACGACGCACTAGACGGCATGTGGTAAGGTGCTGGCCACGCTGCTCGGCGAAGCCCATGGAAATCTCACGCACCTGCATTGTGGACGACCCCCATGTACATGTGCACATGCGTTCGATCTACACTCTCTCCAGTAGTCAGTCTTTCACCCGTAGAAAAACACATTCAGCCGTTTGGATCACTTTACAATAGAAATTGATACGGGCTTCTAGATCCCGCATTATATGACTGAACTTCAGTATGATACAAGTTCAACGGTGGTTCCCACGCGCCAGCGTGCCACACTGAGTTCGTTGGTAAACTTCGGAGCGTGAAACGATAAATCTGATCCGGATTGCCATACACGTTGTGATAACAGGATCCTGAGGAAAAGTATTTGTCGTCAGTGGAAAATTCACCCGTTCAGTTCTCGACTTACTCAACGGGAGACAGTAAGTACGAAATTTAACGCATCATTTTTTGCTCCTGCAAGGTAAGGCTTAAATTGTTTTTCGCATGCAGAGGCCAGCAATTTATTATGTTACTGTACATGTACATGTACCTTGCGTGGGCCACTAGTGTATAGATCATAGATGACTAAAGTATATAGTGCTGGTTGGGTTACACAGTGTACTGTGATGGCCCGGTCATTTTACTACAGCCGTACAGGTGTGTTTAATCAATGCCAATACTAAAGCAACATTAGCCCACAAAATGACAACTTGGCAGAGCTGATTCATGTTTCAGAGACCACAATCTCCAAGGAGCTGAATCGTTTAACCTTTGCACGTGCCCGAGACACTGTTGCGAACTGTGAGAGGTGGTAATTCGATGGCTAGACATTTTCAAGTGTCGATTCGTCATCGCATCTGCTTTTGTTTCTTCCATGAACTTGCCGTACAGCAACAGTGAACTGTAGCCGAAATTTGCAGCTGTGACTCTGTGGTCGTGATCGCAAGTGTGCCTGTGTAGATTTTTTTTCGTCAGTGTGGTAGAACTAAGACATGAAATATTGCCAGCAATACCAGACGAGAGGCCTATGACCACTGGGAGCGCTGGGCCGTCCGATGCCCATTTGGGGGAGCAAGATTTGATTGTCAAAAATGCGCCACACTGTGCAAAATCCAGACTAAGACAAATGGACCTTTTAATAACATTGGGTTTTCTGCCTTTCATGCTTTGGAATCGTCTTACAAATGCTAAATACTTTCACTCCTCCGCATGTGTTATTTTGTCTCGGTTTGAGGTGCAGCCAAAGGGATAGTACACTTGAGCCGATAGATTAAACTTTGGTCTTTGGATGTTGCACATTTTTCCCCTCAACTGACGACCTCTTGGCGCCTTGGGCAGTTTCATTATCCTCATGTGCTTCCCAGTTTCGAAAACTGTTTAAGTTCAGTGATGTATTTTGCGGAACAGTGTGCCCTACCGGGAATACTGAATTGTTACCCGTCTCACAACGGGTGAGATGAATTTGGAAGGAGACTTTCGATTCATAGAACACGACCGAAGCAAAGATGTTTGAAACTTGGGCAGACTACGCCCGTGTCGTGTTACGGCTCATGGAGCATTGAGTTGGGTGGCAGTGTGCTCGACACCTTCGCAGTGCCTGCAGTGTTTTATGGCGGGCCCATGCCGCACTCTTCCAGAGTTGTATCTCGTCCTCTGGTCTGCTTCTTGTTACAAGAGCAAAAATCATTGAGTACTGACAACAGCTGACAGGTAGTGATTGGATCAAAAGGATTGGGCTATTTGAATTATATTGTTGACCAGCTGCCTTGTCCTCAATGACCAAAACGTAGACGGTCTGACTGACTCTGCGTGGCACCAGACTAGAGATCCAATAAACATGTCTCCTATTAATGACCGGTACTCTATCATTTATTGCTGTTCCAGTCCTGTCCTGTCACGGCTGTATTTCTCTGAGCCACAGGTTTATACTGCGCATGCCTGGTTTTCTCGTGCGGCCACCCAGTGAAGTATGAGCCACTTGTGAATTTTCCACTAAGCCACCATTTTTAATACACCCATTATTTACAATACCACAGTGGGCAGTCCCAACTACTTTGAACTCTGTACCATTTTGTACCAGCATTAGGCCTACAGATTTGAATTTAGCTAAACATCCGTGGAGTTATGTCCGCCTCATTGGTTCCCTTTACGTGTCCCGATGAAGTTCCAAACTTGTGTTGTTTGGTTAAGTAAAGTTCCCTTGGCTTTATAGTCCTGACAAGTTTCAGATTGACCTTGGTCTTTTAAAAACTCGGCCCCAACATCTAATCGACGAAATGTGCGAAAAGTAGACATTCTGCCGGCTTTTTTTTTCAAAGCTGAGTGACTTTACGCTTGATTTAGCAGCAAATCAACTGGATATATGAAAATACCAGATTTACTCAACGTACGGGCGGAACAAGTCGGAGCGCGTGTTCATATCTTATTCGATACGACTGACTGAGATTAAATGAGCCGACACGTAATTGCGATATGTACAGCACTGCACCGATACGGAAAAGACCGACCCTGTAGCGTGAAAAGTGGATAGCTTTGGAGGGGATTGCGAAGCATAAATTTGCTCTCAGATAAAACCACGGGAGCTATCTCGTACTTGTTTTCACAAGAGCTCGCAGCAGGTTGCCAATTGAAGTCGAATTTGTGGGAGGGCTGGTCCCAAATTGAGTGAACATTACGATTTCGGTTAATTCATGAATTTCCTGAATCCTTGTGCTCCGTTATATAACCCTTGCCAACATCAGCTGTGCAGTCTTTGCAAAATCCACAAGTGTTGTCCTGTCTGAAACCATAGAGCTAATGCTGAAACAACAGCCGCGTTCTGTACTGCAATCTCTTGTAAATCCACCCAGAAGATGGTCAGATGGTAAAATTGGACTCGAATACAGCATAAAGTGTAGTGTGTGTCCATCACAATTGCGCTGCCTTGCTCTCGAACAACTTGTTTCAAATAATGACATTGTTTTGTTATTGTAATCCACAGTTACTGTAACAAATAATCTGCCATTTGAAAGAAAACAAACAGTCATTTGCTGTGCTCAATATAGAGCATCAACATAGGGCAGAGCAAATAATGTATCCAGACAAACGTCTGGCCAGCAGTCCGACCAGATTATGACATTTTACGCTTGGGTTCTCGTCAGGGTCTACTGTGTCCTGGGGCCTCTCCAGTCAGGTTTTAGAGTGGATACTTCCTCCATTATGTTCAGGAATTTTGCTCTGTACCATATTGAAAGTACCAGTACGGAATTCTGCCTCCTTTAAAATGTTTTTTTGGTTATTAGGGTGAAGGTTTATCCATTTGAAAAAAAAAATGGTGCTCCCGCGGTTTATGGTTACGATGCAACTAAGGCCTTCCCTTAATAGCAGTTCCCAGCCAGCCTCTTGGTGTCGCTTTATCCTCTGCTCACCGAAGGGATGCCCCCTCACCTCGGCCTAAGGGTTGTCTTTTCCTTCTCCGGCCAGCTTAAATCCAGTTTACATGTAGGGTTTAGTCAGTTCGGTATTCCAACAGCGCATACTCAGAGTGAAACGCGTCGCATAGGTCATTCGGACGCACGTACGAAATCTACCCTATTAGCGCAGCCCCTGACGGACTTACACGTGTGCTTTGTTCCCAAATGACGTTGCTTTTTTGAAATACCGAACTGGCCGACTGGTCGAGAGGTCTTGATGAGACAGCCCCGGTATATGAGCCGGAAGGGACCCGTCTTTATTTACTGATCTTACTGTTCATTCTTAAAAGGCATCCAATATTTTCTTCCGTTGGTTTGCACAGTCACCCATTCAAATCCTCGCGCCCCAGCACACTTTGTTTCATCAAACGCCTCTGAAAAACGCAAAATAATATGCAGACACTTTAAGACACAATGCACTTCCCAATCCTGGAAATGTTGAGATGATCTAACTATGCGAGGCCGTATATTCAGGTCAAACACTACTCAAACGCTGAGAGAAAGCACAGGAGTTTGTGTGAAAATTTGTATCCATTGCAAGAAACTCGTTACTCAGTTTGGGCTCTTTGCGATAACCGCTTTATAATACCAATAGTTTTTTTTTACGGGTGAAAAAAATTAAATGCGGCCTTTCATTTCAAGCTAAAGTCTTGCACAAAGACAATTATTTATTTCCGAAATTATCGATTTTGAATATCGGTCAAAACGTGTTTAAAGATTGGTCTGCTTAGAGAATCACTTCCCTAACCGGCCGATGTTATGTAACTAAAAGTTAACATCGGTAACGTTATTGAATGTTATGTGAAGTGAACCAAAATTGAATGCCCTTATTTCTCTTGTTTTCCCTTAGATATCACTACCAGAGTCGTTTGTCAAATATTGTACAGATTGTACAGATTTGTCAAAGTCTGATGGTCGCGTGGCGAACCTATGAGGTACTTTGAACCCCTTTGCGAAGAATAGGTACGCCACGTTCTTCTTTGTAATCACGAATCCACTATATACATGTACACAGAATGCCTAGAGTTACCCCGAGGAGTTGAACACGGATCTGGAGGTGAATACGAGATCGCTAAAGGAATGCGGCAAGAGTTTCATACGCATCTGTATCGTATCTCATGTCATAACATTTTGAAGTATCTCATGCGGAGCCAAGTATGTTTGAGTCCTAAAGTACCGCAATGAGTCAAGCCAAAAGCCCCAAACTGCATAGGCCGACTAGGCGAAGCTGGGGATACGGGACCGAAGGCCGGCCGGAGAGCCCCCTTGCTCGTCCGTCCAGTCCCCACCTCAGCACCCACGCAGGGACCAGCGCGAAACAGGCCTGGCTGTCGCCGGCGTCTGAACCCAGCACCCCCCGAAGTCATGTCCACTCGGCGCGCAACCATCCAAACTCTCCGAAGCCGGTCCGCAAAATCTCCGCATCGTCATCGATTCCGTCCAAGCTGAACAGGACCTACCCCTTCGGTCGCCACTCCGACATCGAATACTCGTCCGGGGAATCGGATGGTCGGAGCGGTTACGATTCCAACGACGGAGCCGCATCGGCTAACAGCACCGCGACCAGCAGGCGGGAACGCAGTCCGCGATACTACCCGATGTACGACAACGATTATTCGTCGGGTGGGAATCCCAGTCCCGCAATCTTTTACCACGACGACGAGTACCCTTACGACGGGAGCCTAAGCAGGTCTGGTTATGCCTACGACAGGTCGAACGTCTACCAATGGAATTCAACTCCCTTCTTTCAGTCTGGTGCATCTTCCTTCCATTACAGTACGCCTGCATATGCGTATAGTGATGATTTCGAAAGAGCAGCCGAATTGGCAAGAGAAGCAAAGAAAGCGGTAAGTTCAGTTTTACTTTTGAAAGTCTGTTTACCACGCGGCACGTTTGAGGGACGACCATTTTGCCGACCACTGTCTTGTTGAATATCCCTGTTGAGCTATGCAGAAAATACGTCTGGGGTACCAGGCAAAATCAAACAGTGGTCGACAAAGCGATCGCTCGAACTTGCCCATGGATATTTTTTCTGTATACTCAGATGGAGCGGCATGGTTTTCCAGATAAGAATTTGAAAGGTTGCTATCGCCACCTAGCCCAATAGACCTCTGTCATGGGGCAGCCATCTTGCTCTTCTACTATTCAAAGCAATGTAAACCAAACTGACGCGGGAAAAAGGTCTGTTCCCTTTTATCAATATGTGAAGCTGTATCACTGTTGCTAATGGGTCTACAGGGAACGAGACAAATGTGACAGCATCACGAAAGGTCTACATACCATTGTTTGTCCAGTTGCGACGACACTGTCTTTTATCACAAGCATTGTCACCATTACCGTTTTATTTTCTTGCCATGGTCGTCATTCAAAACAATTTCTCCCTAATCCATCCTCCTCCCTTAAATGTGCTCATCCCTTTGGTTTAGTCCGCGTCAATTAATACGTCTTCATCACGTAAGGTGATAGACCGATTAAGTTAGGTGACCTAAAATGGTTATCAAACATCGACAAACATGGCGTCCTCCCACAGCAAAGTGAGCCATATGGGTCATTTTACAAAACTGAAGTCGATGGTCGGTAAAGTACTCAGACTACTGATGTGCTGAGTACTAGGCCGAAAATCCAAGAGCTGAAAAAACAGGCTTACTTCGATGGGATTCGAACGAGTGACATTCTGCTTAGCACGATGGATGGGGGGGGGGGTAACGGGGGTTATGACCCTCCCCCCGCAAAAGATGAGGAATTCTTGTAATCAATCAGAGTGGAGATATTAAGTGCTCAAATGGAGGTGATTTTATATGGACAGAGCCTTCTCTTCAGGATATTGCTTTTAAGCAGTTGCTTAATTGTGACTGGTGCAATCAGTTAATGTCAAACTGCACCGGGGACGCTGCTTACCTGTTTTGCTCCCCCCCCCACATAAAACAAATAAAATAAATTCTGTCTGTATCCGGCCTTGTGCTTATTAGTACATTCTTCTTTCTATTCCACCACCGGAATAGTCGGGTCAGATAGTTGGTTCAAACTTAAGCGGCAGTGGGCACCGCAGTTAAAAGCTGAACTATGAACAGAATTTTGTCAACATCTCCCGCGTCAGGATGACGAGACCAGGGGTGGTCTTTGTCCCGTGATTAGAATGCATCACGTAGACTGTTTTCAGTGTCATAGGCCTAATCTTGTCATTTGGCATTACAAGTCTGCGAATATCTTGCCAATATCGTGTCAGTACTGACGAGAGTTGTTCTTGTTACTGTGACCAGAGCCCGGAACGTTCTTATAGTGTTGTTATAAGGTTGTGAAGTAGTCGACTTGCTGCCGCCATGACGCACTGGCAAGTTCACGCGACTGCAACGTTATTTGACTGGCTGTGTAGTCTTTGACCGTTGCTAGCTGCGCGTGTCATTTCCAGCCGTGTATAGCCAAACTTTGGACACACGCGGCCAAAGACTCTTTCGCGTCTCTATACCGTGTAAGTTGCCGCCCGACAGTGAGTCCAGTCTAAACTTGCCAGTAGGCCTACATCCTCTTTTGGAACTTTACCTGAAATTTGCCGTGAAATTTGCCTGTTTTTTATGTCCAACAATCCAGACAGAAGATGCCAGTGCAGTCGGCATCGCAAGGAGGTATTGGAGTCGAAAAGCCGGTATTTTTCAATGCAGCGTTGACTTCGCCACTATGCCATCGATTTGCACTGCTGAACTTTTCGCACTTCAGAACAACTGTCAAGCGTGAGCGGGGGCAAATTGTGCGGCACAGAAAACGGTTCTTTTGTTTCACGGTGTCACACCGCAACCTCGTGAATCACCCCTACAAATACCATCAATCGTGACTCCGGGGGCACGGAGCGCGCGAAATTTGGCGCCGTCCCACGAGACACACGACCAGAAAAGTCAACCCTGGGTGCAACCTTTGTAACTTTTTTTTCTTTATGGAAACAAGACACCGTATTGTACCAGATTTGTATAAATATACCACTTATTTCACAAGTCTGCTGAGAAGTGGTGTTTGTTTCTGTGCATGTCTGTTTTGCTTTCTTTGGTAGGAAAAAAATGGCCTATTTACGGAGGAATATTCTGCTATGTTGTTGACACGTGTGCACGTGAAATTACACTGTGGAATTGGCCTTTTCCGTAGGTCGGCCATATTGAATTGAAAGCGGGGTTACATTTTTCTGTTGAGAACCCGAGAATATTAATGGAAATAGCAAATACAATTTCATCACTAACAATGTCATTTATGCTGATAAATAATACAGAATTTGTGGTCAATTACATCAAAATGTTTTAAGCCTCTTTAAAAAAATAGTGAGGCATGACATCCCAAATAGCCTGGCACCATCCCATTTAACAGATCACGGTTAATAAGGTTCTGGGAACACGATCAAAGTGGCTTCCCCGTGAATAAGGTCTGTTGAGGAAGAAATAAACTTTCCCGGAGCTTGTGGGACTTTTTTTATTTAAAGTTCGCTTATCAGCAGAGTCATGAGAGCCAAACAAATACATGTACTTGACTGGTATGGCTGAAGTGGGTTTTCGATGATTTGAAACTAATTTGTTATAATCAGCTACTTTTGGAGACATTATGTGCTAATGGTGAAAGATTAACAAAAACGTTCGTTTCTGTTCTAATAAGGTTTACCATGTTGAGCCTAATACTTAAAGTTTTTAACAATAATTAACTGGGACTCATGTTCCGTGACTCAGTTTTCAAAACTGACGAGCTTTCTTGTTCTCTGTGGCATTTCTAAACGAAACCGCTTCTGTTTGTTTCAACGTCTAACAGAGGGCGTGTACATGCTGAAATATGAATCATAACTAAAGACAAATTTTGCATATACCAAATAAACGGACACACATGACTTGTAATATTTCTGGTTTGGAACATTTTCCACAAACCCGTTAGGGCTATAGGAGCAATATGTCGAAAGCAAAGGATTGAGGATCATAATTGTTAATCTATCGTGATGCCAATGTTTTCATTTATAGTAGGCCTTCGCGAGCTAAAAACTTGGCCTTGCCTCGAGGCTTGCGAGGCGTTGAACCATAAACAGTTTCCATGACTTCGTGTGTTTTATGGCTTTAGGCGATGTTTTGCGTCTCTAACAATGGTTACATGGGGGGGGCGTGAAAAAGGAGATCTAGCCAGGTGTAGACTTGATAAAAGGTTAGAAATGTGAGCAGCGGCATTGTTCCCTCAGTGTCCCTGTTTATGTTAGGCCACATTGCAAGAGGGTTGCCAATACTACCAGCGCAGATGGCATAAACCCATATAATCTTGAACGACAGTGTGTTGTGCAGCTTAGCCTTCGTGAGTGCTTGACGGCAGCTTGCAGTTTCAAACTGCAACTTCACCAGTGTTGACAATGTTTCCGCAAGGAACGTCATGAAACAAGTTCAGCTGTTCGCACTTTGTTGTCTTGTGGCGTAACTCTCGCGGTTCCGCTGACGTCCCCTTTTGTTGTAAGCCCACAGTTGTGTCTCGTATTTTTTGCCATCAGGAGGAAAGTACAGTTGGAGGTTTGCGGTGAATTGCTTACCTTGTAGAGGCCTTCGAAACAACCATTAATTTTACAGCACATGTACACATTAACTGCCGAAAAATGGTCTCTTGATAATCGCTTTGCTTGGACAATAAGACCCGCTAAAAGGTAGGCGAGGAGGCGTAGACTTTGCGCTCTGCGGCTTCCGAAGGCTCGGCTGTTGCCGTGAAACGGACGCTTGTCTCCCCCGGATTTCGTGGGAATCTATGATCGGTTGAATTGGATTCTGGGATCAGTATGAAAACATATTTAGGATGACTAATTGCTGAGTCAGTGTATCCATTTATTTTGTAATCAGCGTAGCTGATTGCGGTAGCTTGTTTGTACCGTTTGGCATGTCGGCCTATTTACAAACACCTGGTCAAATTCTTTTTCAAAGGCTTTATTTACTTACTTGTTTCCTGTTTGTAACATCGTGTGGAACAAGGTCTTTTCGCTTACAATAGGCTAATATCGTAACGGTTACCGTTCGGACCTCTTGTTTAGACTTCAGAATGTTAGATTAGTTATATTCTGTGCTATTTTTGCAAGTACCATTCTGTGGAATGCACATTCCTTATAGCATGATATGATATGTGTGCACAAGTCGCGCGTAGACCTGAGACCTACACAAAGATCATTCAGTTCTGGGATTTTTATATCCGAGAGTCGTTTTCAGAGTAGAAAGAATACTGTTACTTAAGACGACCCGTGGGGCCGCGGCTATTGAATGGTTGGCTGTTTGCCACTTTCACAAGTAGGCCTATTATATTTTAGAGAAATCGACTTCAATCAGGGTAATTCGTTTTCTGTTGGGGGCGATTTTTACAGGGCAGCACACCCCAAGGCAATTTTATTATTATATCCTGATCGGTGTTCAGTGGGATCGACTTTTGCTGTCAACATTTTTATAAACGGTGGATTCTCGCGACCCGTGAGTGCCCGAGGAGTTGAACTTGATCTCGGCGAGGTTGAACACCGTAACACCGGGAGCAGCTAGCTTGGCACGTCCGCCACGTGAGCTGGGTTGCCGAAAGGCGACCCACATTTTCTGGAAAATGTAGGCTTCGGTCGTCTAGTGTCGAAATCGTCTTTTTCCTCGATCTGCATGGGCACATATTTGTTTTCTCCTCTTTTCGGTTCCACCTAAACACTTCGGGGACTGACGATCGACTTAAACCTCGTTTTGTAAGAGCAGAATAAAAATGGTTAATCGTCTGGTTCCTGTACTTTACATGTTTGACTTCAGACCACGACCTCCAGATAGGGGGTAAAGTAAATAAAGAAACAAAGATACATGTATGTGGTCTGTCGAAGTGAGGAAAACAT